GGGCTGGGGCTGGGGCTGCGGCTGGGGCTGGGCCAGGTCAATGTTTGCTTCCCTGGGCAGGTTGGTGCAGAGCTGTGATTCCCCACATGAGCTGGAACCTAGGGCTGAGGGGTGGGTGCAGTGGGGCCTACAGGGTCAACCCAAGAACCTCCCGGGAGGAGGGTCCAGGTGAAGAGAGAAGGGGAGGACTAGCTTAGAGGCCAGCCCCAGCCCGGCCTGGCCCCCCAGCCCAGGCTGTGCTTACACTGTCCAAGTCTTCCTCAACAACGTCCAGGAGACCCCAGTAGACCCCAGTCTACTGGGGCCCACTCCCCTGTCCAGCCTTCCCCCTGAACCCACCTCCTTCACTCCCCTGAAGAGGAGGTGCCCCTCTTGCTTTTCACTTTCTGAGGTCCCCTCCCTGATGGACAGCTGTTCAGAGGCAGTAGCCCCCCACCTCTAGCTCTGGCAAATGCTGTTCTTTCTCAGGGGCTTGGGGTGGGGTGGGGGTTTGCAACTAACTCGGGCTGTGGCTCTCTCTCCTTCCTCCTCACCAAGATTAGTCCACAGAACCTCCTGGGAACCTCAGAACCCCTTCTATAGGGCCAATCTTTTCCAGTTCACATACGGAGAAACTGAGGCTCAGAGAAGCAAAGAGACCTGCCCAAGCTTGCACAGCAAGTCGGCTGCAGATTCTGCCCTTCATTACGGCGGGGTGAGCCAGATGAGAAGTGGTCTTCTCGGCCTCTCCTGGCTTCTGCTGGCAGGACCAAGGCAACAGCTCCAACAGCTACTGGAGGCCCTCTGGTCGGTGGCCCAGACGAGCCAGCCACCAAGGGTCTGAACTTTCAGATGTGGGCCTTTCAGTAGGTTGCATTGCTGTGATGCATAATTGTTCTATTTTCCAGCTTGAAGATTGAGGCTTTTTGGCCTCGCTGCTCGGAACACTCTCTGACCTTAGGTGCCCAAGAGGGCGGGGGCAGGATTCGAGACAGCTCCTTTCTCAATTTTTTTCATCTGAGAAAAAACGGGAGTGACCAGGACATTCCCCAGCCCAGATGCATAGCGCAGCCCTGCCCAGGGACGCCTTTGTGCTCAGGGCTGCAGGGGCTCCCTTTCCCCGCCCCTAGTAGCCCAGGTAGGAGTACAGAAGGGGAGCCCGGCAGAAGAATGTTTCTCCCGCCCCAGGGTCTGTTCTCCCAGCTCCTGTGCCCGCCCTCGGTGGCTTCGGGTCCTCCCCACACCTCGGAAAATTCACGGGGTGAAATGACTACGATTCCCATTTCCAGCCGAGTAAACTGAGGCCCAAGAAGAGCTCTGCCCAGGTCTCCCGGCTGGATACTGCTGATGGCCTCCCAGCTCAGGCATGTGCTTTGCCAGCACCACTTCGGTTCATACGAACGACCACCCTTAAGGAAGGCCAGTCATTAGTCCCACTTCAGAGATGAGGAAACTGAGGACCAGAGAGGGGGAGGTTTGCTTAAGACTCCAGTGAGGAAATGCGGCAGGCCGGGGGCCAGAACCTGGTCGGTCGCCTCGAACCCGTGCCGTGCCACGGCCCCCACGCTCGCCTTACCTACGTTCACGTTACAGCCCGACCAGCGCCCGCAGCGTGGCCCTCGCCGCCACCAGGCTGGACTGGCGAACGGGGGCTCGC